AGCATTTAACTTACTTCTAATTTGGTGGTTAGGATGTAGCATCTTTGACCTTTTATAGTTTCATTTTCCTTTGCATGTAACATTATTTTATTGAAAAATGTATGGTTGAAGATAAGAGAAAAAAAAATGTATTTTAGAAGAATGCGTATTAAAAATGGTGTAATTTTAACTTTTGACCCCTTTCGTGTCTCCCACAACGTTTCTCGCTTAGCCATGGTGCTTCTTGAGTGCAAGCATTGGCTGCATTTGCAAGTTTTCATATTGCTATTATATTTTATAGTATAATTATTTTTAGAGCATGTTTGATCTCCATTAATTTCAAAATACATTGTTCTCTTTTTTTCTTTTCAACAATATATTTTTCAACAATTATTTTATAATAATAGTGTTTGTTCATGATATTAGACACCGAACCTTAATTAAATGGATACACACACACATATTCGGAATATTAGTATTTGAGTCGTTTTGATATGTATTGAAGTTAAATATTTTCATGGTCAAGGTCAGTATGCATAAATTAGCAATACTTCGTCTAGCCGACTGTACAAACTGTAAATCGGTCAATTTCTCTCTAAATGAAACGCCTCCTCCACTTCTTTCTCCTCATTCTATAAATAATCAACAATACTTGTCAACCCACTCTTGAACTAAAACTCACAACAACATGAAAGAAGGACAATTAGTTTTGTTCATCAGTCAGTTTTTAACCCAACAATTCCTCGCTCTAATAACCCTTTTATCCCTTCAAATCTTCACATGTGATTATGGCCACCTTCCCCACCACATGGTAACCCCACCCTGACAATCCAACACAAAATTCATACAATATATTGAATCAAGCACTGTAGCCACTGTAGCAAATCAGAGCTTTCCAAATCGTGCCACAGTCATGCTTGATTTTGATTTCAAGATTCTCAATATAAAAGCTATGATCGATAAATTGTAATTTCATTTCAAGATTCTCAATTTAAAAGATTATCACACTATTATACCGCCATTCTCGATAAAAGATAATTTCAGACCATGGACTCCCTACAGTGGAGAAATTGCAGTGATTTTGGAGAGTTTTTGAAAATATGGAGTGTAAAAAGAAATAGTATTTGATTGTGAGAGGGAGAGGGAGAGTGAGAGTGAGAAATATGGAAGAATACATGTGTTTTAGGATCCAATTTTAAACGAGGTATTTTATCTTATTTTGGTTTCTATTATCTTATACTTATATATTAACATGATAATTATTGTTGTACATCACCTT